GTTTGTTTTACATTTACTTTTGAAAATTTTTGTATTCTTTCTTTAGTATCGCTTTCTAGCAAGCAAAAATTACAAACCTACGCACTGTATTCCATTACTAAGCAAAGCTTTTTTTTATTGATACTTTTATTTTTCGTGTTTGGTGCCTTCATCTTCTTCTCAAATCGTCCTCTTACTACACCTGTTTTAACTCATTGCCGCATCCTGAACAAGTTGTTTGTAACGAAGCCGACATCTTTGACTTTTATTCTTTCTATTTTTTTTTTTTAGAGACGAACGCACTCGTCATTGATCAACGAAGAAAGACTTTAGATACAAGATTTGAAGCTTGCTTAGTTTGCTGCATGTTCAGTAGGTATTTTGCGGTAGAGGTGCGAACTGCTTCGAATCATTATTTGTGCACGTGATCCCGGGCAGATATATCTACGCAAATAGGAACGCTCAGTCAAGCAAAAAAAACATATTATATATATATATATATATATATATATATATATATATATATATATATATATATATATATCGTTGTTGGAATTGTTACCTGATGATCCGGAGTCCTTTAAAAAGGATTTTGGTGAAATAAATTATTGTAATGGTACCTTAAAGTGGTCTGTTTTTCATTAAATATTAGCTCTGTATTCACACTGAGCTCTCAGGATTTCATCCTCCTTGGAATTACCCATTCGGTTTACCAACTTCTTCGTAACTTAACTATATATATATATATATATATATATATATATATATATATATATATATATATATATATATATATATATATATATATATATATATATATATATATATATGTGTGTGTATGTGTGTGTATATATATATATATATATATATATATATATATATATAGATAAAATGATATATTTTTAAAAATCAGGTCGAGACAAAATATTTTTTATCATGCTTTTACTTTACGTATATCGATACATATATATATATATATATATCTGTGTATATACATATATATATATATATATATATATGTATGTATATACATATATATGTATGTATCATTATATATATATATATATATATATATATATATATATATATATATACACGTGTCAGTGTGTGTGTGTGTGTGTTTGTGTGTGTATGTGTGTGTTTCCAGTGATAAAGAATGTTTACAAACAAGAATTTCGAAAAAAATTAAAAATTCTAGTACCCAGGCTCTCAATTACCACCCAGGATCGAATTTCAGTGTGTGTTCGTGTGCGTGTGTGTATGCGTGTGTCCGTAGTGGGGGGGGGAGGTCTCTTAGTTTCTCTTTGACTAATATTCGTCAGAAATAAAATCGATTTAAACACCTTGAGTTTGTATTGTAATTTTGATTATTTGATTCCAATACCCAGACGTTCGATTGACCTTTTTATTTATTTATTGGAGTATGCTGCAATTTATTTATTTAATAATAAATTATGAATTAAAAAAAATATTTGTAAAAAAACTGCCATAATAAAAATCCATGTCGATGTATATGCACTAATATGGAAAAGAATTTCGGACTGAACCCTTTATTTAGTCCGCGGTGGTACTTTGTTCTAATTCCACTTGCCATACCTTTTTTGAATATCTTAGTATCAGTTTATTCCCTTTAGTAACTCAACTCACCAATATTTTGTTCCCTCTGCTGTGGCCAGGCATTGAACTCACAACTCTTTGGGTCAAGTCATTTTTGGATGACTCAACCAACGTTTTTATCCACTGGGCCATGTATATCATCTGAAGAAGATCGGCCGAAACGTTTTGAATATGACAATAAAGATGAGGACAATAGTTCGAACAGTATAAATAGTGTAAATAGTTATAATACCTCATCTCAGAAATATAGAAAGATCCTGAAGATGATCGGAGCGGACAACGGCTTAAACGTCGTGAATATGGCACTAAAGATGAGGAAAACAGTTTGAACAATACAAATAGTGTAAATAGTTACAATACCTCATCTCAGAAATATAGACAGATATAGAGGAGGGGTGGAGCGTACAGCGGCCTAAACGTCAGGAATATGGCAATAAAGATGAGGATAACAGTCTGAACAATATAAATAGTGCAAATAGTTACAATAGCTCATCTCAGAAATATAGACAGATATAGAGGAAGGCCCTAGCAACAGAAATGACCAGTAATTTGTTTTAATTCATAACTAATTATTAAAAAAATAACCTAAAGCATACTACAATAAAGAAATAGATCAGTAGAATGCCAGGGTGTTGTAATTCAGTCATTTATGTGCCATGCGTGATATCCGTTTAGGCGATCATGTATCTTTCAATACATGACTGACGAGGCAGATTTATTCCACGCAGAAGTTTGCCATTTTTTCTGTGGTAGACCAGTTGCCATCCAAGGCTGTAGAACTAGGTCTGTCCTATTGTTTACCAATATCTGGGGGGCGGGGAGAAGGGGAGGATTCATACCTTCCCATGGGTATTAGCACGTAAGTGAATGGATTCGATTGGAAATCGAACTCGGCTCTCCGATTCCTCAACCAGAACCACTAATATTTAATAGTTAGTTATGAATTAAAACATATTACTGTATATGTATTCAAGTTTAAAAATCCATCAGCATTTTCTATTGCTAGGGAATTTGTAAAACCTTTCTATAAAAATAATCCATGTAAATGTATATGTACTAATATGAGTGAAAATATATACATATTTGGAATGCAACTCATGAGTTGGACAGTCATGGAAAAAGTGGAAATGTTAATCTGACATATCGGGAAAAGTGTGTATTGGTAAAAGAAAGTGGAAGGCTACCTGTATGAGTAGATTTTCACATTTCTGTTTTGCTGTCTCTGTGTTAGCTGTACCAACACTTTGAGTTTTTTACTATATATATATATATATATATATATATATATATATATATATATATATATATATATATATATATTTACATTTTATGTATATACTTTCTTTTTATAGATACAAATATTTAAGTGATACTCTGTTTATAATAAACTGTATTAACAACATTTACCGGCCTGAATGTCCGAGAAATTTTCATGGAAAATATGCGTCCTCCGACAGGAAACGAACCAGTATACTATACATATAGCCTGACGTGCTTTTACCGATTGAGCCACAGAGGTTAGATTTTACTGCTTTTAAACTACAATCTTCATGATTTCCATCATACATTCATATCTGCTCGATGCGTATCCAAATGTAAACAAATTGTAGTTTTAAAAAACAGTAAAATCGACCTTGCTAACCGAAACGCTTCTCTGTGGCTCAATCGGTAAAAGCACGTCAGGCTATATGACGGTTCCGTATAGGACACAGGTTCAATTCCTGTTGGACGACGCGTATTTTCTATGAAGATTTCTCGGATATCCAGGCCGGTAAATATTGTTAATACTGTTTGCTATAAACAGGGCATTTACTTAAATATTTAAAATTGAGTTCGATCCACATAGAGTGATCCATAATTTTAGCCTTGTGCCAAATCTCAGCTACATTTAGAAAACTATTATAAACACAGGTATACACTTATTGGATTTACACAAGCACGAAAGAAATGCGTAATGTGCGAAGTTGATGACCTGTTCTTATTTACATGGCGCGTCGTTTGTTTACAAACAATAATTAATTTAAAGTAACCTTATTATGTAACAGAAAAAATAGTATAATTTTTAGAATACATTACACACGTTCTTACATACGTACACAAAATGTGTCTATTCAATGTAACTGCTGTCAATCGCGCGCCTTCTAACACAAAAACATGCGTTGATTTGGTGTCCTTTATTCGTGTTGATCATGATAGCAGCTTCTAGCGTGCCGTTACCTTGTTGTTCTCTCTTTCTCAACGATACTACAGGAATATTAGTCCATAGTGTGTAAATTAAGAGAGGTTGACCGGGTACAAAAGTTCAGGGTAACATGATCGTGTATTTTCACGGCTCTTCAAGATACAAGACATGAACTACTCATAATGTTGCATTTATATTTGACGTTTTCATGTGCCACAGTTCCGGTCTTTGACTCCGACACAGAGAGCTGACTGGCAATGGCTCTCATTGATTTTTCGAGGTTCCCTTCGATTATACCTTGGATTTGCTGGATGATCTCGTCATTCCTGACAATCTAACATAGTCGAGAACTGCCATTTTTTTTTCTCCCATTTTGGCACTGAAGTTACATTCTTGCTAGAGGCATGAAGCTCTTTCCTGATTTTAAGCACGAACGGCTTTGCGACATTTAAGATGGCTGGAATCAACTAATCTTGTGATTGCCCTTTAAAGTAACGAGAACAGCCTGTCGTTTCATCCTTCGGCGTTAGAGTCGAAGACTTTATGGCAGGTGTGAAAAAAAAAGAGAGAAAATATTTAGTTAATTTGGCTACGTATTGATAGGCTCGCCTCTATCCCACTTCACAGATCCGTAGGCATTGGAACAAGAGTCGAGGTTTATCCATTGTTTCAAATTTAGAATTGTCTTTCCGGTTCCTTCAAATATTTGCTCATTCTCTTTCACTGTAGACCCTTACGTCTTAGCGACATTATCGACTTTCTTGGGGAAAATTGATAAAGACCCATCCATATATATATATATATATATATATATATATATATATATATATATATATATACAGTGGGTATCAAAAGTATTTAACACATTGTTTTTTTCTTACATATCTCAAAAAATAACCGATCAATTTATATTTATGAAATATTTAAACGAACACTGTCGATCAAAACATAGAAGGAATTGTTTTGAGAAACATTTATTAACAATAAATAGAATAACCCATATGCAAAAGTATTTAACACCAATGCAAATATTATGCTAGAAGAGACGTGTCGTCATGATTCCTGCCTATTTTGATATGATGTGATATGTCGATCAATGACAACATGGCACTGCACGACTCTCAACTGGCTATTAGATAACAGCTCTGAGACACTGCAACTATTCTGTTGCCACTACTGCAAAAAATGGTGAAAACAAAAGAATTGTCGAACGACATGCACA